GTTTCTCTTGGATGACTTAGAAATTAAGAGAAGGGTGGGTTGCTTTCTGTGTCTCATTGTAGCTCCACTATCTCTGGGGTATAAATGAAGAGAGTTTCTGCTAAAAATGTGCAGTGCCCCAGCTAGACAGTGTAAGAAGTGTCGCTTGCAGTTCTGTTCTCCACTTTAATAAAAGTAACACTAGAACTGTTCGATTTTGATTCTAAGCCTACCCTGCAGATGAGGTTTACCTAAATTTGTGACAGGACTCTTGCAGTGTGTAACTGGCACGTCTGTATGTCTATACAGCAGACTGTTCTAGCTAAGCATGGCGTGTATGTCCTTGCAATTTCATGTTCTGTGATTATTGTACAGGATAATGCACCTTGGCTTGACCATTATTTCATACAGTAGTTTAACCTGATTGCCTCTATTACCATATGTGAAGGCTCCTGGCCAATGATGGTGAGGGGAGCAGCTTGAATTAATACAGTACCTGCAGTCTCATGGCTGTAGCATGTTGCATTCTGGGAAATGATCAGCTCAGGAAACCTGAAAGCATGGTGATCAAGAACAAAACAACAAAAAACATTTGCTGTCATTTGTTTGGAGAAATAATTCAGAACCTGTACACCAAATCGCAAAGCTCTGTGCTTTAGATTTCAGGCTCGAGTTGTTTAAATCTGCTTTTTTTTTGGGGGGGTGGCATTAATTCACCATGATGTTCATTTCCAGGTTTGACAAGTGAATCTCTGCACCTGTCCTTCTGTGTCGTAATGTCCTGCTTTTCTAAAGTCCAGCCATTAATGCTTTAATCCAAAGAGGAAGCACTTTCTTAAAAACTTCAAGTTGAAAGGCCGTTACCATGTTATGCCACTGACGGATGCCTACTGTAACATGCGGTGTCCCTGGTTTGGGTTGTGCTTGTCATTAAGCTCCTTAGTCCTCCTCTTATCTAAATCCGTACTGCCTGTTGTGATCAGGACTGGCTTTTCAAACATTAAAATTCTTCTTTTAGATATTTGAATATGCATATTTATACAGTAGATTCAGCAGCAGTTGCTGACAACAGACCTCGAACTTCCGCGGCTGTGCCAGTTTCTCGGGCGTGCCACTGGGTGCTGATCCTCCCGGGTGAAGGCGGACACGTGCTAACGCTCTCTCACCCCCCCCCCGGCCCCGCGGCGCAGACCCCATGCAGGACGTGGTGCAGGTGCTGGAGAAGCAGTACCTGGAGGAGAAGCGCACGGCCCTGGAGGAGCAGCGGCTGATGTACGAGCGGGAGCTGGAGCAGCTCCGGCAGCAGCTGTCCCCCGAGCGCCAGCGCCGCAGCAGCACGGACCGCCTGGCCTTCGCCACGCCCACCGCGCAGCAGAAAGTCAAGCTGTGGTCAGAGGAGCGGTGAGCCCCCCCTCGCGCTCGAGTCCCAGCCAAGGCCTCTGGGTGTCCTAGCACTCGAGACCTGGGCGCACGCAGACCGGAGGGGGCGCATTGATGAAGCTGGCAGGGAGACGCTGTTGAACATATAGGGGTTCATCCTTTAAGAAACCTCCCACCGTCTCCCTACTCGAAAGAGCGATGGAGCACATGGCCGCCTCCGTTCTCACGTCTCGCCAATGCAGGGGCCTCTGGAGAGGTCCACAGTGATGCCTTTCTGCATCCTAAAATCACTAAAGCTGTGGAGGGTGGATATCATCCCTTCGCAAGCGAGCAGAAACGGCCCACAGAGAAAATGTGAAACTGGCTGTCAATGAAGGTTCTAGAAAAGGTCTGGTTTTGGATCAGAGATGTTGCACCGATTGTCAGGGATTCAGATCAGAATTTAGACCAGTGCACTGAGGACAGAGTTGTTGATTATTGACTGAAGAAAGTAAGGGGGAAAAAACAAACATTTGAACTTAAAGGCTATGGAAGCTGTACATATATTTATCGTTTTATACAGATGAGTGAAATAGAAATGTTTCCTCCTGTGGAACATTTGCAATAATTAACAAAAATCAGTTTCGTTCCTTTAAAGTTGTCTTTTCAAGAACCAATCTGTTGGTAAAACGAATATTGTAAAACAGTTAGGGAGCCTAAGCATAATTTGTTTCTCTGGAAATGGTGCTTAGCAGGCTATTCTAAGAAACATTGAGAATATATCAGAACTACTCTGAATTGATAGATTAGGGTTAATAGATTAAGTTGAATCTACTTTAAAAAATCAGACTTCAAAGACTCTTAATTCTGTTCAGACTCTGTTTTATTATCAGTTACAATAGATGAGATAAAGTACTGATAACAACGAGATAGTTACCAGTAGCATT